CAGGAATGCATTATCTCACATGATGGAAAAGTCCAAGAGTGATTTAGGAGCTCGGGTGATGTCAGGAAGGTCTTTTTCTCCATCTCCTGGCCCTGCTATTTTATGTGCTAGCTTCATCAGATGGCCACCATTGACTGCAGGGTTAGTTCCTACAAGTTCATTCTTCCCCTCAATAGGAATAGCTCTTCTTTCCCAAAAGTTTGATCAAAGCTCTCAGAACAAAACCCCATTGGCCAACTTGGGTCACATGTTCATCCTGTGGAGCTGGGGTTGTTTACCCTTTAACCATGTGGAATGGCAGTGGGATGATACCCCAAAGGAGCAGCAGGGTGTTACTAGCTTCTGTCTGAACAGTGACCATAGGCTGCCCCGCAGGGCCAACAAATAGTTGTCGAAGGAGTGAACAGATAGTGACTGGATTGGGGAAGGCAGAGTGGTGGTGAGGCTTTCCTGTATTTCTTGTGGTATATCCACCCAAGGTACAGTGCTGATAGAGCATCACTCACGCTCCACCTTTGACTGTCTCCTGTGCTTTTGCCCAGAGCTGTTCCAGACAACTACAAGGTGATTTTTGTGCAAGGAGGTGGGTCTGGCCAGTTCAGCGCTGTCCCCTTAAACCTAATTGGACTGAAAGCAGGCAGGTGTGCCGACTACGTGGTGACAGGAGCTTGGTCAGCTAAAGCTGCAGAAGAAGCCAAAAAGTTTGGGACTGTGAACATCGTCCACCCTAAACTTGGGAGTTACACAAGTAAGTGCGGGGAGCTGAGGTGGACTGTAATGTTGACTGGCGGGTGGTCCCTCCTTAGGACAGACTGCAATTGTGTGGGTGTTTTGGTTGTTCCTCCTTGTCAGCAGTTAGTTTGAGACCATTTAGATAGTGGGGTGGCTGTACTAGGTAAGGCTACTAAGTGCTACTGCAGAAAGAGCTCATCCCTAAGCTCATTTGGCTGAGAAGCCCAGGGTCTGGTTTGGCTTAGGTATGGTTTGATCAAGGGCCCCAACACTATGTCCAGGTCCTGGTATCTCACTGTCTCCTCCGTGGTGGCCCCACAGTCAGGAAAGCTGTCCCCTTGGGATCAGAAGATGGCTGCAGCCTCTGCAGACCTTACATTCTCCCCAGTTTCAGTGCCTGTGCTCACGCATTCGTGTCTCATGGGTCCCGTTCCAAATCATTCGTGTGACAGCACCTGAGTCACATGGTACTTTTGAGGCTGCAGGTGGAACTGGTTCCACTGGAATCATACGGACTGAGAATGGGGAGTGAAAGGGTCATTCGACTGCCAAAGGGGTCGCGACCCACAGGTTGAGAACCGCTGCCTTAGAGTTTATTTTCTAGGAGTCACATTACTTGGTCAGAAGCATATGAATTTCCTCAAAGTTTTTGATACATTGGTTCCACTGGAATCATACGGACTGAGAATGGGGAGGCTGGAGCCCCAAAGGGCAACTGTTGGACCACCAAATAGGATAACAAGCAAAAAACCCAAATTCTCACTCCGCCATAACTGAAGATTTAACAGTCAGCAGGGTTGATCATCCTTTTAGGATGGGGATGGTGATTATAATAATGCGAGATGAGAGGGTGCTTTCACTCGGGAATGCTAGGGAATCAGTCTCATTGCTAGGGGAGGGCTGTTATTTCTGTTGGGCTCCATCTACCTAAGGAAAGGGCAGTACAAGTGTCTCCAACTTGACTTCTGTGTTAGAAATCGTAGACCCAAGCACCTGGACCCTCAACCCGGAAGCCTCTTACGTGTATTACTGCGCCAACGAGACTGTGCATGGCGTGGAGTTTGACTTTGTCCCCGACGTCAAGGGAGCTGTGCTGGTCTGCGACATGTCCTCAAACTTCCTATCTAGGCCAGTGGACGTTTCCAAGGTAGGGTGTAAAAGAGGGGACCCCAGCGTCTTGGTTTCTTTAAGGGCGTTTTAATATATACTAGAATGAAGAGAGGGTGGGGAGCCGTGGCCTGCAGAGACCCTGGAGCCAGGGTAGCTCAGTGAGCAGGCCAGTATCACCTGTTCATTATAGACTGTCGGATGTTTAAGTCCTGACATTCCCAGCCCCGTGTGAATGAAGGCCTCACAGGGTCACACTCAAGCCCATGGGGAATTTATCTGCCTTTGAGGGTGGCTCTTAGAGACTTTTTCAGTCAACACATTGCGAGTGGCTTGCTGTCCTCAAGGGAAGATGCAGATTGTCCCAGCTCCGGGTGCCTGTGAAGGAGCCCCGCCTGGCCTTGTACCCACCTCAACTCCAAGAGCATCAGGACACGTAGACTTTGGGTGTCACACGAAGGTGGGCAGTGGGAGTAGTGTACCCAGGTGCCTACAACAAGGTGGCATAACATCTGTGAGGAATGGAAAACTAACTGACAAAAAATCTGCCTTTTTAAAAAAAATTGTGGTAAAATATACTTAACATAAAATTGGTCTTTTTAACCATTTTAAGTGCAGTTCAGTGGCTGTAAGAATATTCACACTGTTGTGTGATCACCACCACCATCCATCTTCAGAACTTGTCCTCTTCCTGTACTGAAACTCAGTGCCCATGAAACATTAACTCCCCAGTACTTGCTCCTCTAACCCCTGGTAACCACCATTTGTACTTTCTGTCTCCATGCATATGACCACTCTCGTTGCCTCACATAAGCGGAATTATGCAATATTTGGCCTTTTGTATCTGGCTTATTTCACTTAGCAGAATGCCCTTGAGGTTCATCTTTGTGGTAGCACTTGTCAACTTCATTCCTTTTTAAGGCTGCATAATATTCCATTGTACCAGTATGGATATACCACATTTTGGTTATAGCCTGGTATGTATTACCAGTCACCGTGCAATTCTAAACAATATCAAGTATAAAATACTCCGCCTGCCGGGCCAGACTGCTCCCTCTTCTCATCTGGGACACCACCACAGGGAGACATGGGACAGGGTTCTGTATCTTATCCTATATAATAAAGAGCTAATATGATAATTAGACTGAACAGCGGAACAACTGTCCAGACGAAGCCGAGGCTGCGAGGGCAGAGCCCCTTGCTTGAATTTCATGCATCGGGCCTCGAGTATGACAACATTTCCTGAAGAACCTTAAAGATCTGTTTTTTAAAATTTCTTCTCTCTCAGGCAGCTTATCTCATTTATCAGCATCCTTCTGATTGTCCCTTTATACAAATATAAATGGGTAAAAATTCTGGTGTTTTTGGTTACCAAGGACAGTTAGCTTCCCTATTTTAAAGACTAGCGGGGGTGTAGATGGAAAGGATGCAGGGTGAAGATGAATATGTCTAAGGTCTGTATCGTGCTGGCCTTGGGCTAGCCCCTGACTCGGGGGAAGGACCAGGCAGGACATACTGTAGGCCTCAGAACTCGAAAGTGTCTGAGATGGAGATGCCTTTAGAGAAGAGAATACACTCTGAATAGGAATACAACAGTCACCTCCTCATAGCAATCATGCTTTGCCAAAGAGGTTGGGAAGTTTCCATACATTTCAGAAAAATGACCAAGTGCGTCTACAGTGGAATGTGTTTCTCGTTTTCAGTTTGGGGTGATTTTTGCTGGTGCGCAGAAGAATGTTGGCTCTGCGGGGGTCACGGTGGTGATCATCCGCGATGACCTGCTGGGGTTCGCCCTCAGGGAGTGCCCCTCGGTCCTGGAGTACAAAGTGCAGGCCGGAAACAACTCCTTGTACAACACTCCTCCCTGCTTCAGGTAACCCTGCTGTGCTACTTGTGGATCGATGGAGGGGTCTCTTTCCC